CCGGCGCGGTCAGGGGCTCGTGCGTAAAGGGGCTGAGTCCAGGGAGGTCACCTCGGGGGGCTTTCTCGTCTGGGAAGGTGCGCCGAAGCGGGGTGCACCTCCGAGGGCCTCCGAGGGCGTGTATTTCATTTACTGTATTTTGGTGACTTTTCCCCTTTTTCTCCATAAAGTAGGGACACGAAGCTGGCGCTGACCTGACTCATTTTTCTATCTGAAAGGCTAAAAATCCTTATTGACTATTTTTTAATTTTAATAAACTTCTCTATTTATTCTTCTCTATTATTTCACCCGCTTTTCACTAGGATGCCAGCTTTGCCACCTTGAAAGGTGCCTGATCCTGATAATTCTGCCCTGAAATGACTCCCCGTATGCCTGCTCATATTCTCACACTCTTCATTCCTTTACAAAAGCTTTTCTTATTCTTCAACTCCATTTTTTTTTTTTGCTCCAGCTAGTTTTCTATAAATGCTAGATTTCATAACATTATGTCACCTTATTTTTGAAAAAATAAAATTCTTTTTACTCCTAGCTTCCTTCTGGGAGGCCATTTGATGGTCTGAGAGAAAGTGGCTTTGTCAGGGCATGTACAGAAGCTGCTACTTGACTGGATGGAAATGGGACATTTTTTCCATGTTGTCAAAACCTGTCCTTGAAGTAGAAATCCTCCTGGGTTTTCCGTGTCCCCCGCTTCTCTTCCTCACCTGCAGTTTACACTAAGGGGGGGGGGGTCGGTCCTCTGCCCCCTCTTCTCTCTACAGCTGCAATTTGCTGCTTCCAAATATTGTTAGATTTAATCCTCCTCTCGACCCTGTAAAGATGTTTCTCAATACTTGTTTTACAAATGAAGAACAGGAGGGTGAACAATGCTGACCAACCGCCTGAGGTCGCTGTGGTGGAAGCCGGCAGGCACCTCCAGACCCGCTGCTGGGAAGGACCCCCCTCACCCCCACCCCAGTCCCTCACCTGCTTCAAGCGTGGCCCTGGCACTCCCCTCCCAAGACGACACCCTCTCCTCGAGGCAGCCACATCCAATGACTGACACCCAGGAGTCACCTCCCCTCACTCATCACTTCAGGGCACCTCATGGGGGCAGGGGAGGTGTCCTTTGAGGTGGCATTGCAGCGCGACTTCTTCTTCCAGTCCTCCTTCCCTTCCTTTCCTCGGGTGTGGATGGCAAACGCCCCTTAATGATCCTCCTGCACACTGCGCTGCATCAGAGTCACTTCCCAGGGGACCCAGCCAGCAAGTCACACAGTTAGTAGGTGACGAACTGACCCTCAGCAGCTCTGTCCCTGACTCACCAGACTGCACCACCTCCTTTGATAAACACACCTTGCTTATCTTTGCATCCCTGCTACTAAGCACAATAAATATTTGTCAATTCACTTTTTTACCTGCTTTTTGGTTTGGCTGGTTACGGTCACTTGTTTACAGTGTTCACCTTCAAGAACCTCACAATCTAGTCTGTTTCCGTGAAGAGGCAGGCAAATTTGATTCTAAATTTCATGATTGTGGGATCAAGTCAAGAAACGGCAAATTTACCTATTTCAGACAGTACACAAACGTTCTCTGATTTTGGACTTTGCTTTATCAACATTTTTAGACACTCAAAATTTTAGCAATTATAGTTTTACTCCTTAAATACAGGCCTGACCCAAGCCTCGTACCTAGTTTAAGAAATGCTTTCTCCAGCAGAAACATAATATCTGTCTTAAATTAAAGACACGGGAAAAGGAACGGAGAGATGAACTAGAAACTGACTAACGTCTCGTCGTTTCGTCGGTTTGTTCCCTAGGGCCGTGATATGGCATCCAAGATATCCTTATTAGTCTTAGCTTCCCTGGGTTTTTCCTTTTTTTCTCTCCTCTTGTCTGGGTTGCTAACTTCGACACATTATCCATTCTGTTTCCATAAGACACACCGCTGGGTCATATAAACCATTCGCTGCTCCCGTTCCTACTAAACCAGTGCTTCGACTCTGTGCCGAGAAGGAGATTGAATCACTCCCCATCGTCGAGTGGACATCTGTGGCTCGAGGCGGTGCTTTGAGGGTTAGGTGGCCAACACCCGCTCCCCCATTTCAGGTGGGAGGCCCCCGATGGTGCTTCTGCCACCCTCCCTCGCCAGCTCTGTCTGTGAGAGACCAGATGCAGTCGGTCTCCAGGGGCAGTCACATGAGCCACGCCTGGCCAGTCAAATATCCTGGCTCTGGATTTTGACCCTGGAGCAGAACAAGGGCTTGCAAACAAACAGTGATAACTCACATTGCCTGCGGTCGGCCGCCACTCCGGAGGCCCCAGATCTGGCTGTCGTGAGCACCAGGACTTGGCTGGTCCCCTTCCTCCCTCAGATGTGCACTTTGGGCACTTCCTAGTCACCTCCAAGAAACTCGAGTCCGTCTGAAGTTATCTTGAATGTCTACCTTACGGCCAACAAGAAGGAAAACAACAAACCGATCTACTGGAAAACATTTTATTTAAAAATGCAAAGCACAACAGGCTAGTTCTCCAGCACCACCCAAATGGGGTTCGCCCCCGCGGCACTGCATAGCATGCTGAGACCAGTTTTTAGCAAACACCCCAGAATGTATACCCCCAAGCAAAGGCTGTCCCGTGTCAGGGGTGCCCTGATGGAAACACCTGCAGATGTCTGACGACTGCCTCAGTTCTCGTCAGTCGGGATGGTCTCCACTTTTCCCCTGTCTCATTCCTTAATGGCCGCAGAGGCGCAATATTATCATTTTATTTCAAGGCTTTATTTTTTTTTCCAGAATAAAATATCACCTTTTAAAAATTTTATTTTTTGTCATCTTAGCACTTCAAATTATCTGTGCACTCCTCGATAACGAGAAATTGATCTTCTTGCCCAAGACTAGCCAGTAGAAATAAAAGGTGAGCTACATATGTAATTTTAAATTTCCAAGTAGCCACATTCAAAAAAAGTAAAAAGAAACAGGCACAATAAATGTTAACAATATATCTTATGTAACCTAATACACCTAAAATAACATTTCAACATGAAGTCCATATAAAAGTTTTAACGAGATGTCCTACGTTCTTTTTACAATAAATCTTTGTAGTCCGAAGTTTTGAGTGCCAGGGTTTTATTTTGGTTGTTTTATTGTCGTTACTTGTTAGGCCGTCATGGTCCTTTAAGTATTAGAGGGTCTGGTCCTGGGATGCAGTTCGGTTGCGTGGAATCATTTCATTTTTGAAACTTGCTTTCGGTTTTTTAGGGTGAGCCCAGGACAGCCTCAGGCTCGGCATGACCTGGCCTCACACCGAGGCACTGCCCTTCTGAGGACTCAATGCGATGGCCCCTGGGCTAGGTCCTCCCTCTGTGGCCGGTGGGGACACAGACTTTCCCTGGCCCTGTGTGGGCCCTGGGGCTTGATCGGCCTGCTTCTTCCCAGGGGTTCTTCTCGGCCTCAGTCGTTTGTCCACGCACGTACGCAGGCCAGCCTCAGCCAGGGACCGGGGGGACCCCGTGCCAACGGCCAGGACACGGTCCCGCCTCTCTCTCTCTCTCTCTCTCTCTCTCTCTCTCTCTCTCTCTCTCTCTCTCTCTCTCCTCTCATGCGTTTCTGTCAGGAGTCGGTCTAGTGCCGCCTGTTGTCCAATGTCTGGAAACTCTTGTTTCCTGTATTTTGTCCAGTTTTCTAGTTGTTTGAGGGCAGAAGGTAAGTCAAGTTCCTGCTGCGGCCCAAAGTTGTAAAACTGTCAACAGCCATGCGTCTAGCGATGCCCACTGTGCACGAGGAGCCGGGCAGGGTGTGGGGGCCCCCACCGCGGCCTCGCGGTTACCCCCACCAGCAGGGAGAACGGCGACCGAGCGACCCACGGCGGGCGGCGGAGGGAGCGGGG